AAAAACAAGCGAACTTTAGAGTTTAGCGCTGTGAGGAATCGATCGGAGGTTTGGAGCCGCCAGGAAGGCTAAACCCCAGGATTTAAAACCGTATGGTAATTTTGCTTGGGTTCTGTCACAAGCTCGCCCTGGCTAAAATCTTGTGAACTTTTTCCCCTTGAAGACTTGATTTTCAGTATTTATTGCCCAAACTTGTCACCGTAATATAGTTTTCTAGAATGCAGTGGGCAGGTAAAGTCATAGTTGCCCAAAACTTGGGAGAGTGACGCATATTTTCAAGGGAAAGAAAGGAAGTTTTTTCAGAAACCTGACATTTAGCTGTACCAGAACCTGCTTTGGTACAGAAAACGCAACTTCTTTTAAAGGCTACTCTTAACCGTAGGAGAGCAGGTAATTTTAATTGTTATGAAATTGGGAGTTTCGCCCTGTTGTCTCTTAAAAAAAAAAAAATTGCCCTCATCCTGCTTTTTTTTTTTTTTGTGGCATTAGTCATTAATGTCTGATAAAATCTAGCCTTTTAGCTACGCTTTAGTTTTGTCTTTATTTGGAGACCCGATCAGTTTCATCAACAACAGGCTTTTTTGTAGTTTGTCTGGACTTAGGCATTCTGTTTCCAGACCAGAGGGTGCGAATGGATCTTACAGAAAGTTCCTAATGCATTGGTGAGAAAAACTGCTCTGAAGAGTGGGTTTGCCATAACAGAAGTTAGCTTGGAGGCTCCTATTTTGCTTTTATTTTTCTATTTGGCATCTCCTCAGTTTGGCAATAATTTTAATTTCTGTGTTTGTTTGTTTCAAGGTAATTACGTCCTATTGTCCTGCTAACAATGAGCCAATAGCAAGGATCCGACAGGTAAGTTGCTAAAACTCAAGCTGTTACAGGGAACTGTGTTAGCATTCTTTAGAGGCAAAGGTTAAGAGCCGAACAAGTGTACAGATGTAAAGAATCATGTACTTCCTCATCATTGTGAGACTGGGGATCAGCTAGAAAAGTTGAGTAAGAGAGAGAATTAGGCAGAGGGTCTTGTATAGTTTGGATACAAGATATGTAGCCTAGGCTAGCCCAGAGCAGACTTTGGACTTACCTATAGGCATGCAGCACTGTGCTAGGTTTTTGCTAGGACTTGAACCCAGAGCTTTGTGCATGCTAGGCAAGTTGAACTACATTCCTAGTTTCCCTCTGGGGTATTGCTTCTGAGTCATTCCAGAGTTGTCGTTGTTGTTAGACTGAAGGTTCTGATTCTTGAAATCTAGGTTGGAGCCCAAGATTGAACTTTCTAATATGGATCATGTGTGTCGTATCCAGATGAGGCTAGACCTTGATTTGAAAAATTTGAAAGTAAGGCTTTAAAGCACAGCTGGGTTATCTTTTCTTTTGTTAGATTCTAGCTGTTTTTTTCTATTGGTGCTCTAATAACTATCCCCACCATGCTGGGAATTGAACTCAGGGCTTCAACCATGCCAGTCAAGAGCTTTGCCCCCGAGCTATAACTCTAGTGTCATAAAGTCTTTTATAGGATTGTAGACTGTGAAGCCGTTATCATCTGTGAGTCGTAGGGGCACAGCCATTTCCCACTTCTTTTGCAGAGATGTGTATATATTTCAGAAGGGGAGTATCCTGTGGTCAATGGAAAAACTACGGCTCTCGCCTCAGATGGAATAGAAGATAGATTTTCCTGGAGCCAAATTTGAGTGACCACCATGCCCTGGGAAGCACAGCTAGGTTACCCCAGGTTGTTCCCTTGGGGAAGCTGTTCTTAGAGTTTTATATGTAGTTGCAGGAAAATGAAAGCCATAAACATTGGTGGTACCTCAGATCAGTGTTATCTGATGGCATTCTTTAGCTTTTGGAACTAATGGTCTGATAAATTGATAGATTGCAAACTATTTTTATTGGTTAGCCGAAGGATGTTCTGAGACACTGAGGTGGGCAATGAATTCAGGGGAGCTGAAACTAGCTCAGGGTAGGGTAATTAGGCTCTGGGTTTGCAGCTTTCCAGCCTCTCTGCCAGTTTGCTGTTTAGTTTTTGAGACAGGGTTTCTCTGTGTAGTCCTGGCTGTCCTGGAACTCACTCTGTAGACCAGGCTAACCTTGAACTCAGATCCACCTGCCCTGCCTTCCAAGTGCTGGGATTAAAAAGGCCTTTCACAGTTTTAATCAGTATCTGCAGACACAGCCTCTTCCTGGGAATTCTCACTACACTTTTTCATTCCTTTTCTCTCACCCCAATTCTTAACTTAGGCCAGTATGGAAGACTATGAAGAAACTATAAAGGAAGCCAAGGAAGCTTGGAAAATGTGGGCAGAGGTAAGTATGGTCCCCACTGCAGAACAGGTCACCTGCTGTAATTATGAAGATAGATAATCACGTGACAGTGTGATCTTGGGGACTGTGTTAATTTCTTCCCAGATATTCCTAAAGTAGTGTCCTTCCCACTTGGGATGGCAAGAATGGGTAACTTCAAAATAGATGAAAACTATTTCGATAACCGTGTAAACTAGAGCCATGAATACTCTCCCCCCAAACCTGTAATTGAACAAAAGCAGGGGAGCTCTTTGTTCTCTGTTCCTCCTGCCTCTCCTCCCAGATTGACCAGGGACAAGATGTCTTCACAGCAGGACTGGCTCCGGAGCAGCTACACCATTTTCTCAGGGCTAAGGAGTTCCTGTTGGCCATGAGGCAGAATCTGCCTCCTCCATCTCTAAACACCATCCATTATCAGTTGAAAGAGCCAAAGTACAGCTGGTCTGTGGTGGCTCACATAGTACTTGGGAGGCAGAGGCAAGTGGATCTCTGTGAGTTTGAGGCCAGCCTGGTGTACAAAACAAGTTCCAGGATGGCCAGGACTTTTACACAGAGAAACCCTGTCTGGAAAAACAAAAGAAACCAACCAAACAAACAAAGCCAAAATAAGAATTCCGAGGGCTGCTGGGCTGGGCCTCACTTATCTGCCGTTGTAGATGGAGAATCAAGGAGAGAAGAAGTCATTTGGATTTTTTCCAGCATCCCTCTGCCTCCATTAGAGTGTTTTCATAAAGAGGGGAGACCTAGCCGGGCATTGGTGGTGCACACCTTTAATCCCAGCACTCTGGAGGCAGAGGCAAGTGGATCTCTGTGAATTCGAGA